ATTATTATTATTATTATATTATTATTATTATTATTGTTATTATTATTATTTTTATTCCTATTACTGGCATCATATTTTCATTTTTCATTGAATTTTAATAAAAATGTACAATTTCCGCCGTTGTTCCATTATTCTCGAAATGTGCTATTGTATTTTGTAAAATATTTATAGCCATTGTTGTCTCTTTTCGAAGCAGAAGACATTTGCATTTTAGCAATGTTGCTAAAGCTTTTTCATCCGTTGTATTGCTTATATTTGCTAATTTATTACAATAAGCCAATGCCGCTCCGCCATTGTCCTAGAAGTTTCGAAAAAAAAAGAAATTTTATAAAATTTATTTCTGAAGAAATTATTGCTTTCCTGTTTGCATTTACATTTTTGCTAAATGCAAACTTTGCAGTCTTGACAATTTCAGAAAGAACTCAGTAAATTTAAAAACGAAGGAAAACTCTCTTTGCATTTGCATATTTTAGTTTCAAAGTCCAATTTAAAAATTTGAAAAAATGCTCAAAAGAATTAGAAATGGAAATAATTCATTTTTGACGGAACTATTGCTTTCAATTTTGTCTAATAAGTGTCAACATTTGATTGTTTTACATACCTTGACCAATGCAAATTTCACAACTTTGACTACACTTTGAAATGTCAAAGGTCTAAATGAGGCAATAATTTGCGCTGCATGTTGATAATGGCCAAGTTGAATGTACAAATCAGCAAGATTAAGTAAAAGATCGTTTACTTCTATATCGTTCTGAATGGATGAATTTTAAAATGAAATTCATGTTTAGTTTTGTTTTTTGAGAATTTTAATTTTTTTTAACAAAATTTTCGGACAATTTTGAGCGTTTTTTCCTTTTGCTGTCGAAAACATTCAATACTTAAATGATCTTTTCATTTGATTTATTAATTTTTGAAAAAAGAAAAAAATAGGAAAATTTTTGGCAAACATTTTATGCACAATTTCAAGCAAACTTTTTCAAATTATCATTGGAAAATGAGAATTTTGTAACGATTTTGGAAATTTTTGGTAAAAGAAAAATATTTAGAAAAGAAAGAAACAAATAGTAAAAAAAGGAAAAAATTGTCCAAAAAAAAGCTTCAATTCTTTGAAGTAATTAATTAATTAATTAATTGTAGCATCCTTTACACTTATCGTAATTTAATTATATTCACGAACAGAATGCATTAATTGAATTTGCTTTCGAAGATAATTAATTGCAAGCATAGTCTCATCGTTCAGTAATGCAATTCGTACGATACTTTTATAAATCGTTAGCTGTTTTTCGAATTCATCTGGAATGTTACTATCATAAAATTAATCTTTTCTTTGTATTTTGTTAAATTCCTTTCAAAAAAATTTAAATATTCATATACAACTGACAAATGTTTTAATTTCAGAAACAATATTTTGGTTATTGAAATCGTCCCCATTACAAACTACTAATTAGGATTATTAATATTTCTATTAACATTACATTTAGCAGGAAGGTTTGCTTCAAATAATTATAAGCTTTATTGTATATTATAAATTAATCTTTTCAATCATTGCCTATATATCATTAAGTTATATTATCATTTCATAATTATAACCTATCCTTATGATTAATTTTGAGCATTATTAATAAAAAAGTGAATATTAAAAGCTTACCGAGTTGCTTACTGATTTCAAGTTGCATCTGCAGATATTTAATTGCTTGCCGGTAATTTTTTTGTTGATAATATGCAAATGAAATAGCACCAAGTACTGATAGTTTCAAGTCCAATTGTGCAACATTAGCTTCATCCATATCTAATGCTAATTGAAGAAGCGCAATTGCCTCAGTTATATAGCCAATAGCCAAATATTCTTGACCAATTATGCTAATAATTAAGAATGGATCCAACTTTATTCCATTCGTTTCATTTCCAATTTCACTCAATAAAATTGGTAAATTATCTGGAAAAAAAAACAAAAGAAGTGGAAAAGTTATCGAATTTGAATATAAAAAAAAAAAATTGGAAAATGATATCATAAAATGTAATACCAACAACATTTGCGCTATTATATTAGTATTTTTGAATACATTAAAATTTCAAATATCAATTAAAACAATATTATATTAGTTCTGGGAACTGTGCATGTCAAGTAAAGGTCAAATAAGTATAAAAAGTAATTGAAAATTTTGATGAATACCTTGCATACCTTTGATTGAGCTATAATATAAGCCATATTTCAATGCGTTAGTTGTTTCAATCTCATTTTCAATTGCTAAACTTTGACAATACGCAAAAATTGCTTCATCAAATCTTCCAATGCCACGTAGAGCATCACCTTTTCGAAAATAACCCTAAGAAAGATATTGAAAATTTTCAAAAGTTCAAAGGTTAGAGTGAATATAATCTACAATTAAATCAAAGATGAAATTAAGCAAATTTTTCATAGATTTATTTATAACTAACTCTCAAAATCTCAAAAACTGAATTTGATAAATTGCAAAGCTGAAATTAATTATTAATGAGACATTGCCTATATAATATAATTTGGATTAATTTCTTAATGACAAAAGAAAAAACGAAAAAGGAAAGTGATGCAAAAGGGAAAATGGTAATATAACAATATGGCTAACCTTGGCCCATTTAGGATTTAATGCCAACGATTGCTTGGCATCATCCAATGAATTATGAAAACATTTCAAACGTAGAAAAACAGCGGAACGATTGGAATAGAGAATAAAATTAGTTGGATGTAATTGAATTGCTTCATTATAAAGTATTAAAGCTTTTTCAAAATTTCCACTATAAAATGCTCGATTTGCGACATCTGATAGTGTTATCAGTTTATCACGGGACATTGTAACAATGTGATGATAAGATCAGAAATATTTAATCTTTTTCTTTCTTCTTTTCAATTAAATAACTTTTCAAACTAAAAAAGAATAAACAAATAAGTGAGTAAATAATTTAAGATAGACATCCGTTTGTTGTAATTAACTATTCGCAAAATGTGAAATGTGAAATATTTCGAAAAAACAAGAGTAAATAAATAAATAACTAAATGAAATAAGAAGAAATAAACAAATAAACAACCAGATAAATTAATTACAATAATAAATTATTGTAAAAATGCAAATGAAGCTATGTTTTCTGCGGGTGTATATGCAGCGCAACAAATTAAATACTGATTTTTTAATTTTAAATTTCAATTTTTTTTAAAAATCAAAAATTAATCAGAAATTTTGCATCAAACATGTTTATATTGTTTTAAAGCATGTCATTCCGTACAATTATTTCAAAATTTCTAACTTTTTAGTTTTTATTAATAACCGAACCACAAATTAGACCTGAATATGCTTAAAATAGATTTAAAAAAGCAACAATAAGGAATACTAGTTAAATTATAGCAATTAAGAATTTTTGAATTAAATCTGTAATTTTGAAAATTCCAAATTTCAAACTCATTAAAATGAAAAAATTGTAATAATTGACGTTGGTTGAACGGAATGATTTCATAGGATGATGATACGATGTTATAAGAATTGAGTTGTAGAATGCGACAGTTGTGGGTACTGAGGTTTGGCATCGTTGTCCTTGACAAAATTGCACCATCTAATCCTAATTTTATTTCTTATTTTCTTGTTCCCTCCTGATTTTCACCTTTTCCTCCTTCTTCTTCTTCATACTCTTTTCCTTTTTTTTCCCACTTTCTTCCTCTTTCATTTTGAACAATTTTAATTAATTGATAAAATTATCAAAATTCAATTATACTACGAGAAATTTTATTGTGACGTTAATTTTTTTATTTAACTTTTTTTTGTTTTAAAAAAAAGCTAATTAATTGGAACCATTATTTTCGATCATAATAGCAAATTTTTTAGCTAATTATAAGCACTATTAGAGATATATTAGACAATTATGTCTTTTTGAATGTCTTTGTCTTTTTGAAATTGCATAATACCTTTCAATTTCTTTAATTAGCGGAATGTGTTTTTTTTTTTTCAATCAGAAAAGTGCATTTATGTTTGTTATTTAAATATTTCGAAAAAAAAAAAACTGAACGACTAATATTTAATCTTTTTCGTTGTTAACGATGCAATTTGAAGATTAAATTTATCCATTAGTATAGCATCTTTTACGAACATTTCATTAAATTTTTCTGTGTAAACTTTTTTAAAATATAACTTTGGAAATTAAAAAAATTTTTTTTTCATTCTTTTTTCCTATTCTGTGATATCAAATAGATTTAATTTTGTTGATTGAAACGTGTTCCTTTCAATTTGGTAATAACCAAAAATGGAATTTCTTTTTGTCATTAATTTTACTCATTTCTAATGAATGTTTGAAAGTGTTACTTCTTATGTAACATTGTTATCGTTTGTGGAATTGAAATTCTTTCAAATATAGTATTCCTGAATGAAATACGAATCATAATGATATGTAATGATTAGTTAAAAATGGAAGGAAAGGAAATGATTAATTAGAAGAGGTAAGGACCTAATGATTAGATGATACTAATTTTTGGGAAAAATTTGAATAATGTATCAGAATAAGAAATGAATGATAATTTAAATAATTATTCCTCAATAATAATTCAAAATAAACTTTACCGTATGCTATTTTCAATCACATACAAAAGAGAAAAACATTTTTGCGTATCACTTTTTATATATTGAAAGTAGAATGAATACTTTTGCTGTCAAAATGTCGCATGATTTTATAATTCCTTGTAAATTTGGAATAATTAAAATAATCCATGCAAGAAATAATTTTAAATGCGCAATTTTTTGTTTAAATTTTTGATAATTTCTTTTAAAATAGAAGAAGAATGATTTACGAGAATAAGCTAATAATTGATGAAAATAATCGAAACGAAAAGGAATGATTGAAATTTAAAAGCTTCTTTTTGTTTCTTTCTTCCATGTCTCCTACTATTTCATTCCTTCTACGTACGTCACCATTGACATTCTCAATGTATTAAAACGTCCTCTACGTTTTTTTTTTTTTGAAAGATACTTATCAAGGATGGCGCAAAAAGATATCCTTTAAATTCGATGACTGGATCATTCCTTTTTTTTTAGATATGGTGACAGTAAGGTACTGAAAGGAGAAAAAGAGAGATAGATAAAAAAGGGCAGAATATACTTGACTTGTGTGGATTATAAAGGAAGAATGGAAGCAGAGTGGACACTTGACCTGTTTGGGTTATAATTAATTCATATGTTCATATGATCTATTTGTACTAACTAATAGTTTTGAATTCTAACTGACCACAATCAATCCAAAATTTCACTTATTCATCGAAAAAAGCGATCGATAAGAAATAATGGAAATCTATTGAAGAGAAAGATGAACTGATTTCGTTGTTGATATTTTCAGCAAATGCATTTGATGTGACAACTTCTATGGTCACTTGTGACCATAGAAGTTGTCATTGATTGGAGGGAGGGGGGAGGGGGGGCGGACAATTCCACTTCATTCACTGTGTTCATTTATCAATCTTTTAAATTATCCCTCATATATCGTTAATATTTCATCCAATAACGGCAATGATGACAATAGTAATACGAAATCAATACTGACACTAATGGTGACAATGGCGCTAATGATGATGACAATGTTGCTAATGATGGTAGAAATTGTAGCAAATGTAGTAATATATATTATAATTTTCATATAATTTAATAATTCCCAGTGAAATGCTTCAACCCTGTGGTATAACGAATATTGATCGGTAGTTTAGCTATCAATCATCATTAATTTTATATCTGAATTGAAATTTACTTTCTTTTTTTTGGAAAAAGAAATACTTCCACACAATGGTAGTATACTTTTTAAGATAAAATTTTTAGATCGATCGTGGAAAGAGTAATGAAATCCTATACTTATCAAAGAATTGAATAGAAATGCTAAAAAAACTATTTTTGTTCAGTAAAATTTACAGTATTGCCAAAAAAAAAAAAAATTTATTGTAGAAATTTTGCTATAATATGCAAAAAAGACAGCTAAAAAATTTTTCCCGTCACCGTCTGTCGCATCTGTCCTATTTCAATCAAAAAATAATGAAATAGATCGGCTATAAATTCCATTTTGTAATTTTTCAGTTAATTATAGTAAATTATGATTAATTGCTATGTAATAAAGAAATTTTAAATGATTCGGCTTAATTTTTAGATGCGAAATCATTATTATTTAATTAAACAAAACCAATTCCACTTTTTCTTATTTAACAAAGAGAAAAACATTGCTTATACAATTTGAATTATAAAATGGAAAGGTTTAATTGATAATTAAATGGGGAAATTTTCATGCTTATCTTATCAAGCATAAATTTGTTCATAAATCTAATGAATGATGTATTATTTTATATTGATAATGTTAAAATGATTCATTTGCAAGCGATTCCTCAGCAATCTTGTGATGTATGACTTATTTTCAAACTGACAATTTGATCTGATTTTCCGATATCTTGTAAACCTTGGTAGTTTAAAAGTTTAAAACTTCTTTTCAAAAATATTCTAGCAAAATATCATCGTGATGCTTCTTCGTTAACATCCGTCATTTTCATCAAGCATTCTCGGAATGTAAATCTTTCCATCATCCTTGTCATCATAGCTATGACATTTCCTTCAAATGAATGACAATGTTTCTTTATCAAAGTTTGCTCGCTTACCTGAGAAGAAAAAAAAAAACGTATTGATCAGAAATGATGATGCTTTTCAACATTTCTGATATTGACAACATATTCGTCAAATTTCATCCACACATCAATACCATTATCATTGTTACTATTATCATCATCACACCTACAATGAACGTGACATGGAAAAGAATCGAAGAAAATTTGCATGACTTTTCCAGAAATTTGGCATATCTAAAAGGTATCTGTGTCATTTATTGGACTACTTACTGTAAAATGGGACAAGAAATAAAATTATTTTTATTAATTTCATGATGAAAAATTTTTCTGAAAATTTGCATATCGGAGGACAATCGTTGCAAAATTTTCCAATTTACTTCCTTAAAAGCTTTTATTCCATCTTTTTTAGACCTTTTGCATAAAGTTCATTAGTTGAACTATTGTAAAACATGCCTGAGAGTGGAACGTTAATTACCAATCTTGTAATTAACTTAAAATCATTTGATTGACAAAGACAAAAAACTGTGTTGTCAATAAAATGAAAATTATATTGCCTTTGACCTCGATTTGTTTTTTTTTGAGTTTAAAATCATCACAAAATATCAATTTTTTCAATTCTTTACATGTACTTTCCGTCAGCAATGTAATTAATTTTACTCATATACTTAATCACTCAATAATAACATTACATTCATTTTACTTCATTAACCTGTATTTTTCAAAATCTTGTCACAAG